GGGGGGGGGGAGCGGCAGGGGCACCGTGAAAAGTGGCAAGAGAGAGAGAGAGAGAGAGAGAGAGAGAGAGAGAGAGATTATGTCAGAGGGGCGATGGTAGGGGCAGGCATTTTCCATGTTGCCCCTGCAGGGGCCACCTCAGCCCAGAGAATGGCCTTGTTTGGCCTAGAGGGGCAATCAGAAATGTGCCCGGTACCAGTAGGGGCATATAGAAACTTTGCCAATTAGGGTCCAACAGACCAAAGACGTAGGGCATCTGGAGAGTTGAGACCACGGTAGGGGCATATGGCAAAGATGTCGGGTCCAATCAACATGAGAGATATCAGCGGATTTGAGCATTGACAAGGGGAATCGCAAATACCCAATCTTTTAGGGACATCCGACAAAATACCGCATCTTCTAGGGGCATTCATAGAAATACTGCATCCTCTAGGGGCATCCAACAAAACACCGCCATCTTTCAGGAGCGCCCAACAGATTTGCCCTTTTTTTAAAACACCAGTGCATGGCCATACATCGGCCGCAGGCCCCTCACCATGACTTTCGGAGGCCGGAAACGCACCGAAGGCCATTGACGAAATTAATCAACGGCGGCCCGGCCCCACCCTGCCCCGAAAGTCGTGGGGGTGGGGACGAGTTCATTTTCTGCAAGGCTGGGGCCGTGTACTGGCGGTTTATAACCAAAACGAAAACGAACAAAGACAAGCGAAAAATTTGATAAAGAACAAGAATAGACGTGGATGAGCACATAATGACACTCGAAGCGACTCTTTCGATTTTCTGGAAAGGAAAGATGCAGCAGAAACCCTCCACAGCTCCAACAATCCACCTGACAAAGTTTCAGGCAAAAAAAAAAAAAAAAAAAAAAAAAAAAAAAAAAAGTTTCAGGCAACTTTCCGCATCTACCAAGACATTGATTGAGGCAGAAATCATTTGCCAACGGCGGAAAACTAAGATTGCAGCATTGCAGAGCGCAACCCAGACACGCGCAGCAGGAAATTCTGGCGAAGGCACACAACAGGAAATTCTGGCCAAATTCATGATAATCTGGCTGGCAAGAGGCAAGGTAGCCGATATTAATGGTCCCCACCTCAGACAGAGAGGGACTGGCACAAACTCCGAGTCGACACTCTTAAGTACAGATACGGCAACAACCCGAACCACAGCACCTCACCTGGCAACTCACTTGGCCCACAAGACAGCATACATTCGTTCAGGGAAATGGCGGATTACCACCTCTGGACTCGCGTCAGAGAATGGGATACAGTCGGGAAGGTCAACGACTACCTCTGGACTCGCGTCAGAGAATGGGATACAGTGGGGAAGGTCAACGACTACCGTCTTCACCAGAATAGAATACCCGGTCATTGCAGCTGTATTTGGTGCAACTTTCAGACTAGATACAGCAATAATGACCAGGCGTTTTATTTGGGTGAAGACGGTAGCGGCAAGGGAAATATATTCACTCATTGCCTAGGCACCTGTTTGTTCTAGTGAGCAAATCGATCTGACAGGTTCTGCAAGCGCAACCAGTGAGTGGAACCTATGAAGTGGAACCTGGGGGAGTGGAACCTGTGAATGGAACCTGTGAGTGGAACCTGTGCATGGAAACTATGAAGCGGAACCTGGGGGAGTGGAACCTGAGGGAGTGGAACCTGGGGGAGTGGAACCTGTGAGTGGAACCTGTGCGTGAAACCTATGAAGTGGAACCTGTAAGTGGAATCGGAAGGCAAGCTGACAGTCAATCCTCCAGGCAAGCAATTGGAATAACCTATGGTGCTCAGGTTCCGCTCACTGGTTCCACTCACTGGTTCCACTCACTGGTTCCACACCCCAGGTTCCACTTCATAGGTTCCACTTCATAGGTTCCACTGCCTCCGGTTCCACTCCCCCAGGTTCCACTTCATAGGTTCCACTACCTCCGGTTCCACTCCCCCTGGTTCCACTTTCATAGGTTCCAGTCCCTCAGGTTCCACGTTGTAGGTTCCACGTTGTAGGTTCCACGTTGTAGGTTCCACTCACAGGTTCCACTCACAGGTCCTTCGGCCAAGCGGAAGGAAGTGTGTGAGTGTCAATATTGTACTCTATGCCTTGCAGAGGGGAAAGGAAAACCAGACTGATGCTCCCCAGAATGAACAACGAGCCAGGGGCCATAAAGACCTATTTTTTTGGGTAAACGAAAAATAATAATAATAACATTATAACAATTACAAAAAAAGAAAAGTGGATGAGAATCAACAGCCAGGATGCAATCATCAGTCATCGCAATGCTGTGTATTTAATTTTCATCATCATCATCATCGTATTTTTGGAAGGTGGCTGGTGGGTGTGGGGACCACCAGGCTGCCCACCCAGCTTGAAACGCCCTGCTGAACCTGGGTGCTGAGGCCTCAATGACCTGACCGGCTGACCCACCCAGCAGGGCGGCTGGGCAACCTTCCACGCGGGTGTGAGCGGCCCGAGATCCTAGAAAAGTAACCTGTATCTCTATAGGCAATAAATACAGAGTGAAGAAGCGAAAGGAGGGTCCAGGATCACTGGGGGGAGAGGGACGAAAGCCGAGGATCAGTCTTCAGGGCAACCATCTTTCCAGGAATAGAATGCACCGTCACAGGATGATAATGAGGATGATGATGATGACGATGATGATGATGATTTGTGGCTTGTGTGGTCCCCACAGGATGATGATGATGATCTCGCTCGTGTGGTCCCACCAAAGTTGTGGGGGGAATGATGATGATGTCAATGATGATGATGATGATGATTTGTGGATTGTGTGGTGGTCCCACCAAAGTTGTGGGGGGAATGATGATGACGTCGATGATGATGATGATGATGACTCCATCACCCACCTCACCCCTCCTCCATCAACCCCCCACCTCACCCCTCCTCTCCCTCCCTCTCTCCAAATTTTGCGAACCACTTCAAAAACACATAATAGACAAAAACAAAACAGCCCGGATTCGGGCAGAACTCAGGGGGGGAAAAAAACAAAAAAACAAAAAACAAAAAAAAACAGTTCACGCCAGCGTAAGTTAACGAAACTACTTTCCAAGCAGTGCGAGCATAAAACCTGTGGGGACCATTGAGTGTGCAAGTTTGGCATCGCGGTGGCTTTTTTTCTTTTTTTCTTTTCTCTTTTTCCTTTTTCGCTTTTTTCTTTCAGCTTATTTCCTCCTTTTTCCCAACAGCACGGAACCATTGGGTTGCCTCTTTTTCCCCTTTTCAACACACACACACACACACACACACACACACCTGTCTCTTATACACATCTAGATGTGTATAAGAGACAGCACACACACACACACACACACACGCAAATAAAAGGACACCGATTTTTTAACATCTTTCTCCTCTTTTTTTTTTTTTGTGTGTGTGTGTGTTGGTAGCTTTGTCATCTTCTGTCTTCAGTAGGTTCGAGTAGGTTCGAGAAAAAGAGGTGAGGGGGGGAAGTTTTTAGGAAAGTAAGAAAGGTAGAAAAGACGGGAAGTCGAGGAAAAAGAACAGATTGGAGGAAAGTACGACAAGAGAAGGGAAGAATAACTAACCAAAAAGAAAAGAGAGAGAGAGAGAGAGAGAGAGAGGAGAGAGAGACAACAGGAGAAGAAAGGGAGTGAGTAGACACGGATGATAGAAAGCAAAGAGGGATGAAGAGGCTCAATTGACCAATCAATCATCCTATCAGTCAATCAATCAATCAATCAATCAATCAATCAATCAATTAACCAATCAATCAACCAAAAAGAAGAAAAGAGAGAGAGAGAGAGAACAGGAGAAGAAAGGGAAAGAGTAGACACGGATGATAAAAAGCAAAGAGGGATGAAGGGGCCCAATTGACCAATCAATCATCATATCAACCAATCACTCAATTAATCAATCAATCAACCAACCAACCAATCAATCAACCAACCAAGTAATCAATCAACCAACCAATCAATCATCCCATCAATGTCACAAATCAATCCCATCAATCAGTCACAAATCAATCAACCATCCCATCAATCATTCAAAATCAATCAATCAATCCAACCAATCAACCAATCAATCAACCAACCAAATAATCAATCAACCAACCAATCAATCATCCCATCAATCAGTCACAAATCAATCCCATCAATCAGTCACAAATCAATCCCATCAATCAGTCACAAATCAATCAACCACCCCATCAATCATTCAAAATCAATCAATCAATCAATCCAACCAATCAACCAACCAATCCCGTCATTCAGTCCAATCCATCCAATCAATGCAATTAATCCAATCAATATTAATCAATCCCATCCCAATCAATCAGTCAAAAGCAATCCGTCGTTCATCCAATAGAGAGAGACTCTCTTCCTCGTGATTCCCACTCACCCATAAGTCCTCCAAATGGAGGTAAAACGGCGGGAGCTCGACTCCAGATCCAGCGCGAGTTATCTGCAACGTGGACGTCGCCAGACGGTCAGGAGAAGAAACAGCCTCCTTCGCAGGCAACCATCTACGGTCCTTATCTCTCCTATCATCATCAACATCATCATCACCGTTCATTGACGACGAGACAGCTGGAGGATCCATATCAAAGCCAGGAACAGTGGGATCGGGACATGGCCCATTGCGCACCGAATTTCCCGAAGAAATTGGCCGCTTTAACCCCCTCTTCGCGCCATTTCTCCTTCCCGCCAAATTTTCTTCTCGTCCGTCACCGCTCTCACCCAAAACACCTACAACTGATTTCCCAGTATATTGCCGAACACCTCCTCCTCCTCTTCCTCCTACTCCTCCTCCTCCCTCTCCTTCTCCTCCTCGACCCCACAAACCCATCCTCGGCATCAAAATTTTCCCGCCAAAATTTTCCCTCTTCCCGCCCTATTCACACACGGTCACATACAGTGCACCTGATGTCGTCAACGTTTTTTTTCCCCGCGCGAAACAAATCCACAGCAGAGAGAAGAGACCCCAGGGGACAATCGAAGCTCCCGCCGTTTTCACACAAGAGCAACCCCGTTATGTCGCGTGCTTCCCGACATATTTTCCCACCGTCTCCCGCCGTTTTCACACGAGAACAACCCCGTTATGTTGCGTGCTTCCCGACATATTTTCCCACCGTCTCCCGCCGTTTTCACACGAGAACCCCGTTATGTCGCGTGCTTCCCGCCATATTTTTCCGCCCTCTCCTGCCGTTCACACAACAACAACTCGGTTATGTCGCGTCCTTCCCGCCATATTTTCCCGCCCTTTTATCCTCTCCTTATTGGCAAACAGACAAAGCTACTACTCCTACACTTTCTCTTCCTCTTCCCATCACAACATGCTCGATTGCACTCCCTCCTGCTACCGGGGTTCATCAAGACTATGGATCTTCATCTCTCTTCCCTCCTCCCTCCTTCTGCTTCCTCCCTCCCATTCTCCTCCTTCCCCCTCCCTTCCTCCACCCTCTCCCGCGTCCTTTCCCGCCTTTTCCCTCCGCTTCTCCTTAATTCCCAGCCTCCCCTACGACCGCCCTCAGCCCCACCCACAGCCTCCACGGGCCCAGCTTTCACTGATCAGGAAGGGGCCCAGAAATACTCCTACTCACACCCTACCCTCCCCTATCCTTTTTTTTTTTTTTTTTTTTTTTTTTTGTCCTCCTCTATCCTACCCCCTACCCCACGCCAACATAACAGTTCTTTT